TAGATAGATAGATAGATAGATAGATAGATAGATAGATAGATAGATAGGATTGTAGGATTGCTTGGAAAAATCTTATAATACTGTGAAGCCTAACAAAGTCTGTGAACTTGTGTCACCATGCTAGAGACCCAGAACAGTTGTTGAAAACAAGCCCATCTAAGTCCATAGGCAAAATAGTAAATCTCAGTTCCATCAAGAGTCAATGTTCCAAATAGACACATCTTTATTATTTTAGTTTATCAGAATATTCTTGGCTTCTTTTAGGAAAAAATTGGAATGACTTTGTAAGGCTTCAAGAATATCTACTAGGACTTTTCATTTACATTTCATTTACGTTAAATACATAAGCTAATGTAAAAAATAAATTGTTTCCTTTTCAAAATAAAAAAAGAGTCAATGTTCCAATTGAAGTAGGTGAACTGGACAGGAAAAAAAAAAGCTACTGTTTCAGACCTTCACCTGATTTGCATAAATCACACCCCCCCTTGTAGAAGGGAACCTACTTTGCTGAAACCACAAATTTCTATACCAATTTCATTTTTTAAATAGTTTAAAAATTCCTCCACAGATATACTCAGAAATAAAGCTTTTTGGGGAACTGAAATTTACACACACAAAAAAACCCTGATTATCACAGCTATACAATCAGCACTGGTGGATTTTCTTGTTTGTTCTCTCCACTTCTTGCTGCTCCCCCTCTCTTTTGCTCATTCACTCTCAAATGCACACATTCAGATACAGTATCCATTTATTTTGTCAAATAGTCATTAAACAAATCTTTGTTATCACATACTCTGAACAGGGTTCAGGGAGTCACATAAAGGGAGGAGTGGAGATACACCTATGCAAAGAGGAACCCTTACTACCAAGGGGTTTGTGTTCTATTTCAGGGTACACTCATTTCCTTATAATTACTGGATGGTACTCTACAATTGTCTCATGTAGAAACCATGTACTACGAGCATGCTGAGGAAGCAATTAATTCTCATCTGGGAAATAAAAAACTAAGCATATAAGCCCTAGCATACTAGCAGTGGAAGAGAAGATGATTAGATTATTCTGTATAGAAACAATGACAGCATAAAACACCCTTAGAAATATAGAATGTTGAAGGACAGCTGCAATTTTTGTAGACTCAGGAGACTGAGTAGGGCTGAAAGAGAGAAGTTCTAAATCTGAGCAGACAAATCTGAAATGTTTCTAGTGCTTTCCTGTGTAAAACTGTAAAGGAAATCCTGCATTCTTTTGAGAACCTGCTTGGTGAATCACAACAAACATAGACAAGGGAAGAGAAAGTGAAAAATAAAAAATTCTAGATCTACATTAGGTATTTCACTGATATTGGAAAGTCAGAGTTGACATTAGTTTAGAGTTCTTAATGCGATTGGGAAGTGCTTGGTTTCTAGATGACTCTCCACAGCATCAGAACCTCAATTCTGACGCCAGTGGGCAAGCTTTGAACATTTCCTTGTTTATCATGTTGACAACCAAACTAACACCCAGAGTTACAAGGAGTATGCCTGAAGCCACCACTAATACTGAGTTGGTGAAATGCCAGATGACAAAGTGGAATTTTGTAAGTTTAAGCAGGACATTGTGTAAATGTATTACAGATAAATCTAAGAGGAAAAGAGAATGACAAGACTTATTTCGTTCTACCAAGAGCATATTACTTATTAATTTCTAAATGCACTCAAAATTGAACCCTGAAAAATTTTTTCATGTCATTACCCACCCTATGTTACCACAAATTTAAGACTTGCCTCTACTTTTTCATGTATGTTTGTATATGTTTATATGGATGTGTGCATAGGTATAGGTGCACATATGTGAACCTGAACCAACCTTAGGTGTCATCATCAGGAGCACCATCCACCTTTTGGGAAACAGGGCTTCTCACTGGCCTGGAAAAACCATAAAGATCTTCCTGTCTTCTCCCCTGCACTGGTATTATAAGTATGTGCCTCCACAGCCCGTACTTTTACTTAGGTCAGTGCTTCTCAACCTGTGGGTCACAACACGTTTGTGGGTCAAATGACATTTTCACAGAAGTCCATATCAGATATCTTGCATATCATATATTTACATTATGATTCATAACAGTAGCAAAATTACAGTTATGAAATAGCAATAAAATGATTTTGTGGTTGGGGTCACCACAACATATAAAACTTTATTAAAGAGTCACAGCATTAGGAAAGTTAGGAATCACTGGCTTAGGTTCTAGAAATAGTCAAACTTAATTTTTGTTGTTGATTTGTTTTTTTTTTTGTTTTTGTTTTTTGTTTTTTGGTTTTTTTTTTTTTTTTTGCTTGTGACTCAGGTACTTTACTGACTGTACTATCCCCCCAACTCATCCTTTTTTATCTTACTTTTTAAATTTTGCTTTTGTTGTTGCTGTTGAGGTGAGACTGGGTCACACTACATAGTTATAGATAGCTTTAATTCATTATATTCCTGTGTCAATGTTTCAGGTTCTATGATTCCAGGTGTGTGGCAACAATGCTTGACTAATAATTATCATTAGCCTTTTGCTGTTTATTGTTAAGAATAAAATATAACTTGAGAACTAGTGGTAATTTGTTAAAAATCAATTTAAGAATCATTAGTCAAAAATTAACAACTAAGACTCAAAGCCAAGTATATATCTACAAGCCCCTATCAGCACTCACTATAATGTGGCAATTATCCCAGCTTTTTTAAAATAAATTAAATGATGCACTTTATTGGTTGTTTCCAATGAAGGGAGTATAAAAAGTATCGTTTTAAAACTGTCTAAGTTGAGTAAATTCTTTGTGTTTGACCTTTGGTTTGGTAAAAATGAGTCTTGGGGACCATTTTTAGTTAGGACTTACTAAAATATGAGTTACAAATTGTTGCTTGGCTGTTCTTAGACTTAGAGACCCAAAAACAACTTACAATAAAGGAAACAGTGTTTTAATTGTTCCTCATTAAAAGTGATGAAAACACATCATTTCCCTTCCTCCCAGGTGGCTGTGGAGGATCGTGTGAGGCAGCTGCATGAAGCCCACAGGGACTTTGGCCCAGTATCCCAGCACTTCCTTTCCAGTAAGTCATTTTCATTGTTCCCTACTTAACCTCTTCATTGTATCTTAGTAGCTAAATATTAGGAATTAACCACTATCTCTCTCAAAGACATTAGAGCTATATTTCATTCCAAAATAATATTTTGAATATCATTGCCAATTATTGAAGTGTGTACTGGAAAACATATTGCAAGAAACAATTGTGTTTTAGCTGACAACTGGAAAAAAATGATCTAACTAGGCCTTAGGTATGAGGATGAAATATGTTTTGGAATAAAATATAGCTCTAATGTTATAAAGCTGATCATTTTATATCATCATGTATCATCATTCAATATATGATATTTTGAGTCTGATTATTTTCTGAGCTAGAAATGAAATTCAGGGCCTTGTTAATGTTAAGCAACTCTTGTTCCACTGAGCTAAATTCCTAGCCTTTGTTTTTATGAGACTCTCACTATGTACCTGTACTGACTTCAAACTCACTATTCTTTTACTTTTCTGTGTATAAATATTTTGCCTACATGTATGTGTGTGCACCACATGCATTCAATGTCCAGGGAAGCTAGAATAGGATGTTAGAGTCCCTGCAATTGGAGTTATAGATGGTTGTTGGTTACTATGTGGGTGCTGGAAATTAAAACCTCATCCTCTGGACGAGCAACCAGAAATCTTTTTTCAAGTAATTAATTAATTTTAATTTTTTCTCTCTTTTTAATTCACTTTGTATCTCTCCTGTAGCTCCCTCCTCCCCTTCCAATCCCACCATCATTCCCCTTCTCTACCCATGCCCCTCCCCAAGTCCGCTGATAAAGGAAGTCCTCCTCTCCTTCCTTCTGATCTTAGTCTATCAGGTCTCATCGGAATGGCTGCACTGTCTTCCTCTGTGGCCTGGTAAGGCTGCTCCCCATTCAGGGGGAGGTAATCAAAGAGCAGTCCAATTAGTTCATGTCAGAGACAGTCCCTGTTCCCATTACTATGGAACCCACTTGGACACTGAACTGCCATGGGCTACATCTGTGTAGGGGTTCTAGTTTATCTCCGTAAATGGTCCTTGGTTGGATTATCAGTCTCATAAAAAAAAAAAAAAACCTCTGGGCCCAGATTTTTTGGTTTTGTTGCTCTCCTTGTGGAGATCCTGTTCTCTCCAGGTCTTACTTTCTCCCCCTTCTTTCATAAGATTCCCTGCACTCTGCCCAGTGTTTGGCTATAAGTCTCAGCATCTGCTCTGATACCCTGCAGGGTAGAGCCTTTCAAAGGCCCTCTGTGGCAGACTCCTGTACTGTTCCCTGTTTTCTCCCTCTTCTGATGTCCATCCTCTTCACCTTTCTGAATGGGGATTGAGCAATTTAGCCAGACTCCTCCTTGATTAGTTTTTTTAGGTGTATAGATTTTAGTATCTTTCTCCTATATTATATATCTAATATGCACTTATGAGTGAGTATATACCATGTGTGCCTTTCTGCTTCTAGAATACCTCACTCAGGATGATCTTTTCCAGTTCCCGCCATTTGCCTGCAAATTTCATAATTTCCTTGTTTTTAATTGCTGTGTAATATACCATTGTGTAGATGTACCAAAATTTCTGTATCCATTCCTCTATTGAGGGGTATCTGGGTTGTTTCCAGCTTCTTGCTATTCTATTATAAATAAAGCTGCTACAAACGTGGTTGAGCAAATGTCCTTGTTGTGTACTTGAGCATATTTTGGATATATGCCTAGGAGTGATATAACTGGATCTTGAGGAACTGCTATTCCTAATTGTCAGAGAAAGTTCCAGATTGATTTCCAAAGTGGCTTTACAAGTTTACATTCCCGCCAGCAGTGAAGTAAGGTTCGCCTTTCTCCACATCCTCTCTAGCATGTGTTGTCACTTGAGTTTTTGATCTTAGCCATTCTGATGGGTGTAAGGTGAAATCTCAGGGTCGTTTTGATTTGCATTTCCCTGATGACTAAGGAAGTTGAGCATATCTTTAAGTGTTTCTCTGACATTCGATATTCCTCTATTGAGAATTCTGTTTTGCTCTGTACCCCATTTTTTAATTGGATTAACTGATTTTCAATCAGAAATCTTAACCACTGAACCATTTTTCCAGCCCCAAACTGACTATTCTTTTGCCTCAGCTTCTCAAGTCCTGGAATTATGGACTTGTGCTACCATACCCAGCTAATGCTCTTAACAAAAGGCATTACATACTTTCATTTCCAGTTGTTCTCTTTCCATAATTATCCTGCTTCTCTTTTATCTGTTATGTTTATTTTTCCTTTTATTTACCAGTTTTTATAATTTGTTTATTATATTTTATAATCAATTGCATTATTTACATATAAGTAATAAAAATTATGTGGTTTTAATTAATACTAATAGAGACAGCTTTAGGTTGCTGAGAGTTTTACTGGAACATTTTAATAAAGTATATTGGAGAAATGTATAATGTATTATATAAATAACACCACAGAAATATATATATATATATATATATATATATATATATATATATATATATATTTGGAGTACTTAGAAGTCACAGTTCTACTGCATGGATAGCCATCAATTTTGCAAGTTGAGCAGATAACCCTGGAACTTGAAAAATAACTTTTTGTCTATGAACAGTATAGCCAGCTTTTTCTTTAGCATTACCATCAGAAAAAAAATAGAACAAGCATTTTAAAGGTTTATTTTTAACTATAATAGGAAAAACAACACTATGTAAAGAAAAAAATTGAATAAACCTACTGGAAGGTTAATGATTATCTAGTTGTAGCCAAAGAAAGTAACCATTTATCTGAATTGGTGTAAAGCCAATTAGTCTGAGCTTTACTATATGGTATAATAATCTTAGAAGGCTCAATTCCAAAGTAAGCCCTTGCCTGCGTGCATCCCAACACAATGACGTGGGCAATAGCCTCATAATAAAGCGAAATAACTTTATTGGGACTAGCTGACAAGTTGGTCCACAATAGAGGATTGGATTGTCATAACAATCCAGTAGGAGTTGACTGTGTTTGAAATACAAGTAATAGGAGAGGACTATCTGGATCCCAATGTGTTACAAATTGATTTTTTAAAGCCTTTATTATTATTAATAATGTATCTTGAGCCTCTGGAGTCAATTTGTTTTGCGAGGAGGTAGGAGCTAAATACCCTTTAAGAACATTAAACAATGGCATAAGTTATCCAGTGGTTAATTTTAGATATGGCCTAAGCCAATTTATATCTCCCAATAATTTTTAAAAATCATTAAGAGTCTTTAATTTTTTTAATTTGTACTTTTTGATGTTTAATAGCCAGAGGAAATAAATTAAAACCTAAATAACTATAAGGATCACTAGTTTGTTCCTTTTTTGAAGTAATTTTTAATCCTGCTTGGGACAAAGCCTTAAATAGATCTGTATAGCAAGCCATAACATCTTGAGCTACGGGTGAGGCTAATAAAATATCATCCATATAATGAATGATATAAATAGAAGGCCATTTTTTTCCGTACTGGACTAATAGCATTAACTACAAATTGTTGACATAAAGTAGAACTATTTGCCATGCCCTGTAGCAGCATACTCCAATGATAACGTTTCATAGGTTCCTTAAAATAATAGAAGGGAGACTAAAACCAAATCTACGGCAATCCACAGGATGCAAAGGAATGAAAAAAAAATAAACAGTCTTTTAAATCTAAAGTAATCTTGTAAGTGTTTTGAGAAATCCCACTAGGTGATGGGAGTCCTGGTTGCAATGTTTTTATAATTATTATAGTCTCATTTTTTTAAAAATCTTGTAATAATCTAAATTTGTTAGATTTTTTTTAATTATAAATATGGGCATGTTCCATGGTGAGTTAGAGGGAGCTATATGCCCTATAATGGTTAACAATGATCTGAAAGTAACCCTGTATAATCCTGGGCTAATATGGAGCTGCAGTCCTTTTTTTTTCTTCTTTAAAGGAGCATAAGCAAACATTTTGCATTGAAGAATCTCCAGCCTTTTTAAATGAAGAGCAACATATTTTATAGTTTTTTTTCCCTGATATGATACATTGTAATAACTGCAGTTTTTTGTTTAATTGGCTCAAACAGCATGGCTTGATTTTACTTTTCAAAATTAATAAAATAAATACCAAGGTCCTTTGACTTCCCCCAAAGTGTTGAGAAACTGTTTCAAGTTCTTTGTTAGACTGCCCAATGGTTATTATTTTAAAATACCTGATAAATTTTAAAATGTTTTATAGAATTTAACACCGATGGTCCAGGACCAAACTCAGAGGTGCTGATTTAAACTGTCTCATGTCCAAAAATATTAGTATCGTTAGTCCAAGTCTACAGATAAACATACATACACAGATAAACATACACACATACACATACATACGGAACATAGAAATCCGACATTGCCACCTTGGAGTAGCTGGAATTCCCAAATAGCAGGACTTGACCGGCCCTTACCGGACACAAGTCCTACAGATTCCAGAAGAAGTGGACCCCTTCATGGGCCCCCTCCCCGGGAACTGGAGCGTCCTCCAGATTCCCTCGATCAAATTGGAAACTCTCCGAGCTTCCCCAGACCTCGAGCAAAATGAAACCAGAAACCAAAAAACACAGCCGGCAGACAAAAACAAAAAAAACAAACAAACAAACAAACAAAAAAAACAAAGACAAAGACAAGAAACAACCGTGGTACCTGCTTTTTAAACATTCAAACAATTTTTTAAAACCTGTTTTTGCAATATTCAAACAAAGCATCCTCTTTAGGAGTGAAATCATAAAGCATGTTAATAATTTTAAAAGTTAAAACCAAAGTTCAAAATTTGCCAGTGCAAACAATCCAATTTTTTAAAACCAACACCAATTTAAAATGAGACTTGTCTTTTCAGTCTAAAAGGAAACAAAATTTATGTTAACTAAGAGGTTTTATAATAATTTTTAACCCATATCATATAGCAAAGATGACAGAATTATATCATATGGTTGCCTTTTAAACATATGTGTTTACAGACCTTATAAACATATATGCATATATATATATTT